TCATTACATTAGATTTGATAGACCACAAATCCTCGCAAAAGAACACCGATTCCTCCCAAGGATGATTCGCGAGGCTATTGAAATTAAAAAACATCCTAATTTCAATAGAGAAGATGGATGGGTGCTGCCATCTGCTTGGGATCCCATAATTAATAAAATCAAATCCAAACCCAAGTATACCACTGCTAGACTTCAAGATACTGTAAGCTCATTCTGCGTAAATCGAACCAAAAATTAATATTAAAAAACTGAAGGTAGCCGGGCTAACTATGACAGCAGGACGTCAAACAACTCAGTCCCCCGTGACCACGGGTGCTGGAAAGCACCCGAAACGTCGGGAATATAAAAATAAGTTAATATACGCGATAAAATCCGTAAAATTAGTTTTATTTAAAAATGTGTAGTGTTCGCGTAAATATAAGAAATCATTAAGTATGTCTCTATCAAGTTCCGTTATATGCTGGTTTAGATTATAGTTTTTAAGAATGTCTTGTAGATGTGTGGTCATGTTATTATTTAATAGAGTATTAATATTAATATCCCCTGCAACAACAATTGTTTGCTTCGGATATTTGAACAAGAGTTTACTTAATAATAGTTCAAATTTGTCAAAAAATAATTCAAAATGCCTTTTTTTGTGGCGGTTGAAGCTCAGTAGACACAAACAATTATGACGTTTTGTAGAGGAATCGATACAGAGCAGCACTCAAAATGAAAATTAGCTATATACTTATCATTACAAATTGAATTGTTTTTATATGCTATCTCTTTTTTAAGTAATATGCAGGTGCCACCCCTTCTTTTATTCATTGAGTAATGCGCTACAAGCTCGTAATTGTGAATGCATACAGTCCACCTGATAGTACGTGGTTGCTGCGGCCCATAGACATCTACATCTATCCTCTATTACAAATCAAATTGTAGATGCGTTGTCACCCGTGAGGACTAAGATGGAATGCCTCAGCTCCAGTAAAAAGGGCCTCCGGCCACCTGCACTCACCAAGCGAAACGCAGAGGTAAATCTCTACTTCACGCTGGTTTTCTGTGAGGTCGTGGTACTACCCCGGTTCGAGCCGGCCCATCCGTGCGACAGCAAAAGCTGCCGCATGGCTCTACCACTGTTATCTCGATAAGACGTTATCTCGAAAGTTCCTTTTTAGATAGTAGACCCTGAATATTTTGATGTAAAACAACTTTATATTTCTATTAGCTTCTTGGTAGGTAATTTTATAACATCGTTTTTCACGTTTTTTATGCTGTGAAAGTAAAACGGTATTGTACCCTTTTTAGGTAAACGGGTGTTATTATCATTGCCTATAATATTGTATATAATTTGAAGTCTCTAGAACTTGCGATTTTTTTCTAAACTGGACTTTAATAATTACATTTACTTTATTTTTTAGAACAGCATTCGTTGCAGTTCATTGTGATTTCAGAATATAAATTGTCAGGCGCTAATGATATATATAAAGAATAATTTAAGGAGCATAAATAATAATATAATGATCTAAAAGGTCCTTACACAATATAAGACTAACACCACTTTTTTTTCATAACATCTAAGTCCTAGTCATGTAAACGAGTTATATTATTTACAAAATTATTTTTCAAGATACATATTATTATGACATGTGTCTGAAGAAGGTGTAAATATTTACAGATTAGTAAATAATTTTACAATAACTGCAGAACCGTAAATTATCAACTATATAGAAAAGCTATAAAATTAAATATATTTGTTGCAAAGATCTCCATGTCGAAAGAAAAGTTAAGATTGTAAATCAAAATGAGGACACTAAATGCCCCTGCATCCTATCGACGCAAAGATGACAATAAGTGCACCTCAACATCGTGAATGCAATTATCAGAATGTCCGTAGTAATTAGCAGTAAGTCAATAAGTAGGCGTGATCGAGTCCGTATATTAATAAAAGCATAAGTCGTCAGCAAAAGCAGGAAAAAGTGCAACGGTAAAGAAAGCGGGAATCAGCACAAGCAAAAATGTGATATAATCATAAGCAATATATTTCACAAGCACAAATTAGTCAATGTGTGAAAATATTCGACAATAATTTGACATACATACTTACGATATTGACACAATGACGTGTGTGTATCATTTCACAAAATGCATTAAAATCAATGATTGTTATTCAGTAATTATCTAATTTAATTCATGATTATTATCGACTTATAATAATAATTGAAAATAAAAATTGATAACTAATATTTTTATATGACAAAGACTAATAATATGTTTTAATAGAAATATGTATTGTTTGATACTTTATGCGTACGTATGTACTTATTCGTACAAAGAAACGCAGACGTAATTGGAAAAGACTGCATGTAAATATTAATCGTTGAATTCCTTTTTTTTTTTAAATAATATTTTCGCAAAGTTGTACAAAATAACGATTTATCAAGAAAATCTTCAAAATTCATAAGATTATTTTTCATATTTTTACCTTCTTTGTACAAGTTGGGGCACGATCTGGCATTCTCCTTTACTTATTATTTAGTTGAAGTTTTTACAAACAGTGATGCTGCGCCAGAAATAAATTCCATTGAAAAATCAGTGGAAAAATCAATGGTAAAATCCATAATTATTGCAATTAAGTAAAGGAGATTGTCCGCTTCTCTTATAACTTGTTGGCAATTTTCTTCCACTACCTAATGAAACTCCTGACCAATTTCGACCTTGGCGACTGCTTCAGTTTCAGTTTATAATCATATATGATTGCCGATAGTGAATTAGTTCATCGCGCTTGCAATCAACACAAGTACACAGTTGAGTTTATTACTCAAAAGTAGGAAATCATCACATTTAAAAGTTTGAAAAGAAAAAAATAGGAGACAAAGAAAATACATTTTTCATATAGGAATTTTGGTTACTACCTACTAGGTACTGAATTATTATTGAGTCGACTTTTGTGCTTTAGCATAGTATAAAATCAAAGGCAAATTTACTATGAGATACGAGTAGGCTATCGACCCCATCTAATATGAAAATTAATATTTGTTTGTTAGTATTTTATGCGCTGCCATACCGTTCATCAGAATGCGGTAAAACCACAGAATAAATAATATTACTACATAGTAAAACTTTGTCATTGCTTGCGCTTCCGCGAAGGTTATAGGCATAGTTGGACAAGGCAGGTGGCGTTGTTGTACAATCCAGATCAGCCCCGAAGCCGGGGCAAATCGCTAATAGGTTATGAAATTCTATCCGACAGTGACATCACAACGACAAGATTATTATTAAGTAGATATTAATCAGCTCACAGAACTGCACGAGAAGCTAAACATCAACAATGTTAATATTAGAAATAAAATATTACACCTCTAAAGCATAACAGTCGCCTTACAATACACTAAGAAATTAAAGAAAATAGAACAGCGAAGAATCTTTGTGTTGAATTAAATAGGCACAGAAAAATATTAAATGTACCAAGCAAAATTTCAAAAAATGCGGGAAAACATTTAAGTTTATACGTTGTCATATACTACATATTTTGCATGTTATGTATATTTATTGTGATTAGAACACACCATATTTTTATCTATAACTAGTTGTTCTACGCGACTTCGCCCGCGCGTAATTTATTACGATTGGATTTAATTTTTTGCGTGGGACGCTAATTCTTTTTCTAAAATAAAAGTAGCCTAAGTTACTCCTTATGAAATCAGCTATCTGCCAGTGAAAGTCCGGTCAAAATCGGTTCAGTCGTTCCAGAGATTAGCCGGAACAAACAAACAGACAGACAGACAGACAAAAATTGTAAAAATCGTGTTTTTGTTATAAGTACCGTATATACTGTCATATGCATATAGTAAAAGCTGTTATTTCGATATTACAAACAGACACTTCAATTTTATTTATTTGTATAATATAATATAGATATGTTTTCAATATGAATGAATACATCGTATTAGAAGTTTCTTTAAAACAATTCATTACAGCAGTTTTTAGACATATTTATTACTCAAAGACTCAAAGTGTAATATAATATGCGAATGGTGAATTATCATCCCATATCGTCCCGTGGGTGTCGTAAGAGGCTACAGGAGATGGGCGGCAGCGTATTCCTAAAGGCGCCTACTCACTTGCCTGTCGCAGGGTCAATCTAGGGTGTAGGAGTGGGGACATACCCTTAAATGCCTATACTATCCTAAGTCGGCCCTGCGGCAGAGCAGCAGGGTGGCAGGGGCGCAAGTTCCTTACTCCCTAGATCATAGCTGCCGCTGCGGCGTGTGTAGCGCAATTGGGGCGATTTCAATCAATTCGTCAACGACTTTCGCGCGGAGTATACGTGTGGGTACAAGTCACAATAAATACCAATAAAGAATGTTAATAAGAAAGAGCGGCTTCTTCACCCAGTATCTCGTTTTTGTCTTTTTTTGCGGTGGCACCGCAAAAAGACAAAAAGGAGCCGCGAGGAAAGAACGTTATTTGAACGTAGTAACGTTATCAAACGTGATAGAGCCATACTGCAGCTTATACGCACAATATTATGGTTGTAGTTATTAATTAATTACTTGTTTTATCGATAACTGTGGGTATCTATGGGCCACAGCATCCACTTACCATCAGGTGGACTGAGCTCATTTGTCACACTTATTCTATATAAAAAGAGCCACGTCTATATATACCGATTCATTAATAATTTGAAAAAACTGGCGCCATTCTCAACGCGTGTCTAGAGATATGTGCACTCTCATACTGAACGGCAGGCATGTTTGTAGAGACAGTGATATTGCCCCGATCGCTGTACACCCTAGATTGCACCTGCGGCAGGCAAGTGAGTAACCGCCTTATGGAAAATATCCCCCCTATTAGGCAATCTATGGGAAGGCCTAAGTTCAGCAGAGGACTTTCGAAAGGCTGTGATGGTAATGGTATTATAATATGGTATATGATTTAAAATTTAAAGGCATATTAGGCAATGTTAAAACTTAACGTAAGATAGTGCGTTGTATACATAGCATTAATACTTTTAGGTATGTGCAGCATACGCTCGAACTACTTTATCAAAATTACCAAAACTACAATGGCTAGACCTGCGTGAGATTCTACCTTCGGATCGGCCTGATGGAGAATTCGATCCTCATCCTGATGACTTACGGTCAACATATTTTAACTTCACTATTTTCCGAATTGTGTCTGCTCCTTCACCCCCAAAAGCGGATAAGGTAAGTGATGAAGAAAAAATAATAAATTCTAATATGTATAGTGATAAAAATAACCCCAATAAACCACAGTACATAATATAAATCCATTTATATATACTACTTCTATGTGGTAGGTCTCCTTTTCTGCCTAAGGAGTCCGTCTGGATGAGTACCACCCTTTTACATATTTCTGCCGCGAATCAAAATTGCACGTATTGCTGTGCTCCACTCTAAAGGATATAGAGAATTAGAGAAGCGGAGAGGGGGGGGGGGGTCATAGCCCGGCTATCTTCAGTAATAATTTTGGGTTCGATCTATGCAGAACAAATACTTAACTTAAAATTAAACGTGATAAAATCCGTAAAATTAGTTTCATTTGATTTGTAGTATATTCGCGTAAATATAAGAAATAATTTTAAGATATTATACACACAAATAACGGACTAAAGATGAAACCAGTCATTTCTCACACAGGGAGCTACAACATCATTTCATGTAGAGTTGGAACTGCCTTTGTTAGATGCAACAAGGAGAAGATTTCTGATGTTTCGAAATAATGAATCCCTGACTGAAATGTTGCCACTGCCAGAAGACGATGAATGGGTACCACCCAGCAGGATACTATCGACCGTAAAAAGTAAATCTGTTCTGGGTAAGTCAGTGTCGTATAATTTCTTGATTTATTGACCTTGTATTTTATGTGGTAGAGCCATGCTGCAGCAATATTATTGGTATAGTTGTAGCACGAATGGGTTGGCTCGCCCGGGGAAAGACCACGATCTCACAGAATACCAGCGTAAAATAGCAGCTTAACGCTGCTGTGTTTCGTGAGGTGAGTTTAGAGAACTGGAGACCCTTTTTACTGGAAACGAGCCATTCTATTTTAGTCCTCACGGATGACAACGCATCTGCATTTTGATTCGTAATCGAGGATAGATGTAGATCTCTATGGACCACAGCAACCACTCACCATCAGGTGGACTGTGTGGTGTGTGCTCGTTTGTCACCGTTATCCTATAAAAGACCTGTCTGATAACTTCTTTAAAAGTGAATTGTTCTTTTAATAAACCATGTTTATGATCATTTTGAATGAAATGAAATTTTAATTTTCCCCTTTGACGGGATGAAGGAATATTACAATCTTAATGTCATTTAAATAGTGACATTAAAAATTTCATCCCTTATTTTTCCACCCCTGAGGAAGAAGAAATTTGATCTCGAGTCGAATTGATGGCCTCCTCCTTTTTTGAAGTCTTCTTCAAAATCAAGTTCTAAGTGCATTTTTGCATTACTTGCAGCAAGGGCGTCGCCAGCCGATGGACTAGAGAGGGGCAAGTCTATATATAGAGGATGGGAAAGTGTAGGTACAAGAGTAAATAAAACTTTACCCTTCTATTTCGAGTCTTACCTCTACGGGGATTGTAATAACGACGGTACAAATTCCAATGTGTATAGCTCTACGAGCTCTTGAGTGTATAATAAGACTGGTTGCTTTGCATTTCACTACATTTTTTGAGTCTCTAGGGAGAGACAGTTGCCCCCTCCCCTTCTCCCCCTGGCGACGCCCTAGACTTCAAGTAATAGAAACAGGCATTACTCACTATGTACGAAACGCGGTGCGTCAGCGATATTCTACAGCTCTACAACAGCATTTTGTGAAGAACGTCAGTCTTCTCTGGAATTTAGTAGTCAAGTGTATGTTTACATAACAAAATGTACATGGTAGAACCACCCTGCAGTGTATTATGCCTGCAGCACGATTGGTTCAGCTCAATCAGGAAAGTACCAGAAGAAGACAGAATACAGAATAGAGTAGGAAGTAGCAGCATAATGCTACTATGTTTCGTGTTGATATAATTAATGAGAACCGGAGACCCTTCTTACAGGTAACGAGGCATGCCATCTTAGTTTTCAGGGGTAACAAATGATGTGCATTTTAATTCTTCATCAGCCTTTCGTTTTAAATTCGTACTAACTTGCTTTAGACGATCTTTTATTGAAGCTTTCATGGGACGCGCTTGAACCATATCCGATAAAAGTCCTACTCCAGCGCTTAATGCCTCTTTACCAATCACTCGAGCACCACTTGAAAGTAAAGGTAAAACTGATCTAAATAACCCCCTTAAGAAGCTCCCAATACCATGACCGCGTTGGTATGGTGAACACTTATAAAATACTCCAACTTCTGACTCAGCTTGATGTGTATAATAATTTTGAGAATATATTATTATTAGGTCTTTACATATGAAATTGGCGTTTTATACGGGAGGAGTTTATATTCATATCAATTTTTTTTTGTATAATATATTTAATTAATCAAAGTATGCACCGTTGCTATCTATGCACTTTTGCCATCTCATAGGTAGTGCATTGATCCCTTTACTAAAAATACGGCGATAATCAATAAACTCTTTGAAGGCGGTTCGGACTGCCGCATCGGAGTTGAATTTTTTTCTTTCTAAGAAGTTGTCCGAATTCCGGAAAAAATGGTAATCTGTTGGAGCAAAGTCCGGGGAGTACGGTGGATGTCGTAGACATTCCAATTGTAGCTTATCTAACTTAGTAACATCGTATATGTCCTTGAGTCACAGCATCCATTTATCATCAGGTAGATTGTGTGCCCGCTTGGTCACCCTTACTTCAATAAAATAAAATAAGAGCGATATAGTGTAGTAATTTGGACCAGTGAATATTATAAAGCAGTTTGCAGTTAGCAGTTATCAGTGTTGCAATCATAACTCCAAACGTAAAAAGTTCCTAACACTAATACTATGGTTTTGTTGATTATAAGCTCTATATCATTGGTCACTAATAAAAAAAAACTAGATACACCATCCATTGCAAAAATTCTCTTAAAACTGTCGCCAATTGTTTTGACGTAATTCTAGTGGAAATAGTTGTATTCACAAAGCTACGTACAAATTAAAAGTGCACCCAAATGTTCGAGTGAACGCTCATTTGGTAATGACATTTTTTGTCACTGATTGTGTATCTAGTGTTTTATTAGTGATCGATGCTCTATATGAACAAAATTCGCCCTCTCGAGTTTGTGGTGCAAATACATATTTTTTTTTTAGGTGAAACATCATCACATGGATCAGATGTATATAACCGCTTAACTGCTGTAAACTCCCGGGAAATTCGTCACTATACTACATTCGAAAGCAACCGGGTCCAATGGAATAAAGTCATGAACTTCCAGGAGCCAGCTGTCAGAATATTCTGTCCAAACCTTAATGCACTACGAGACACTTTCCGAACAGTCGTTACCCTAAGGCTTGTATATACTGTGGTAATTCACATTATAAAAAAATTGTAGATATTATTTTTTAAAGTTTGTATCCTATTTCTATAGGAAATTACATCTGAAACGCTTTTATTGTCTTGGTAAGGATTTCCATACAGACTCAAATGCTAAATAAAACTGTCTTCGAGATCGTGATGGACATCTGTGACATTATCATATGGCCGTGTTGTGACGGCATAAGAAACTCCATCACATAATTTAGTCCCTGGCGTGTCGTAACAGGCTACTATGAGAAACTCTGTAAAACGCTCAAGGCTTCCAATAAATCGCGGTGTAACAGTCTTGTTTACGCCAGAAGTAAAAAAAAAATCATATTGGCAATGGGGAGTATCGTGAAAAGCGCAAGTCGTCTAGTACTGCGATCGGCTGTCATCCCTATCCTCTGTAAGATTTTTTTTATAGGAGAGAGGGCAAACGAGCATGCGGCTCACCTGATGGTAAGTATCGACCGCGACCCATGAACAATTGCAACACCAGGGAAGTTGGAGGTGCGTTGCCGGGCTTTTTAAAAAGGAGTAAGCTCCTTTCTTGATGGTCCCTAACTCGTATCGGTCCGTAAAAATCGCCAGTGGTATACAATTCCACAAAGTAGTCGTGTGAGAAAGAAAACTCTTGGTAAATCGCATAATAGTGGACCGCCAAGCATCCAGATGATGTGGATGGTAACGTCAGGATTTGGGTTCGGGAACTACTTTCTTACTACTTTCACTATCAATCACCTCGTGCAAGTATGGTTGGTATTTGGGGAAAAAAGGTAGCATCACCCATTTTTATTTTATACTATTAAGAACTTTATTATTGTTCAAAGTTATACTGCATGCAAATGGCTTGAAGCCGAAGTGCAGTTACACCTATTAGTAGCTTAAGTATATGAAGGTGATATCGGTTGGTTAAGCTAAGATGTATTCGATTTGTCTGAATAATTTATAAAAAATATAAATGTCGACGACATTGAGGCAGCCTAAGGGTACCTCATCTGCATCTTCGTTGTTATTACATATTAATTTATATGCACTTTCGTATTTCAGCAAATTTAGATATAGACATAGACATACATTTATTGAGCAACATACACTCATACAGTTTTGATACAGAAAATAAAATAATACATTTTTACATCAAAGATAAAAAACAAAAAACAATCATAAAATGATCCGATTGCATGAGTGATGTGATGCTGAAAAGGGCACTGACTCAACGTAATGCTATCGCAGGATTCCGGTAGCATTGGTTTTCAGCAATGCCCATTGAGGTTGGACTCGCCCGCGAGGATAGTATGCTCGCTTTATTTCTATTTTCATTTTCATTTAACAGAAGTCATAGTTATTTGAATTTTTATTTGAACTCTCAGGTAAACTAGAACTTTACTACTTCTAATTTTACCTGAAAGCAATCAGTTTCACCTAGAGTATTATCCATAAAGACGTCGTATACAATTGGCTGCACCTTGTTGTAACCGCACTTCGCCCTGACATATGAAATGTTGAAGTATCACATCATTTTCATAATCCTAGAGTGCTCCTTCAAAACAAGTAAAGGGTGATAAGAAGAGTGCTCAATCGATGAAGACACTTCCATCAGAACAAAGGGCCACGATAGCGACTATAAAATGTGTCCTGAAAAGACCAGATTGGAGTCAAACGTTTCAACAATTCCATTGGGACGATTCTCTTGGTAACGATGAAGCAATACATTGGGAAGATGGAGATCTTTCTGTAAGCATATACTTATTTGTACATTGTGAACGGAAGGAAAGGAAACATATTCTAGCTTTAGCTATAATAATGATAAATTGTATTTCTCTAATCATAAATCTAATCTCTCCTTTGTCGTAGTGTATAATACTATACCTTAAGATCGGATGCCGTGTTGAATGAAAGTTAAAAACGTGAAATTTTCACGATATGTATAATATAATTTATTTTTTTATTCAGAAAACTAACATCTTTTAACAGTCCGGAGTCAAGAAGGTGGCTGTGATTCACTCCCGTGTTTCTGAAAGCATGTAACGCCTGATCTCTCTCCGGTGGTATAGTATTACCGTCCTATCGGACTATGAGAGTGAGGGAATAGAAAGTGCACTTGTGCTTGCGCATACATTTGGGCACTATAATCCTGTCCTGCGCAGATGGCTAGTCTCTGTTGAGACTGGCCGCCCTGTCCGAAATTCGGTCTGGAGGATATTATTATTATTCATTGATGTAATATATTGTGCATAGTATAACATTATTCGAGTCGACCCCCTAATGATCGTTTTGTTTACTTAATCATGACATGTGTTTTAATGTCTGTAACCAAAGACGTATTAAAAACGTATTAAAAAAGATAGACAGGTTACACACTAACATTATTGTATTTAAAGTGGCGCAGGTAGAGTACTATATCTACGTATAGTTATTTATTATGACACGTTGCGCTAACAAAAAGAGACAAATGATAGGGCATACCTATCGTTAGAAAAAGATGAATATACATCTTTAGTTGCGTATTGATTGCTGCTGAGCGCTCATTAGTGCGAGCGCGTGACATTCCGGTATGGAAATGAACACTAGCTAGCGTCAAAGTTTACACTAGCGGTTAGTGTTGAAATAATAAAACCGATTATGAACAAAACATCTATATTCAAAATATTATTGAGACGTTTTTCTTGTCTCTAACAGTTGTCGTGTAATTTGTGCACCACCTAAAAACACAGGAAGGCATTTTTACCACGAATAACTAGAAGATTTACGCGCTGTAGCGAAGGTAGAGCCGCGACGCGAGAGCGTGCCCGACTGAATGCGAGTCAGGCAATTACCTGACTTTCGTATTGCCATTTTAGAGCGAGTATGACGTATCTATAGTTTAAAAACATCTTAGTCTGTAACCACCAAATGCACCGAAGTCATGCAGGCGGAGCGGCTCCATCCAATTCACATAAGTGATCTACACGCTATGTACTACACGCTATGTATAGATCAGACATCCTAACGACAATCTAGATGATCCGTTGTCGCCAATTATACTATTTGTAGTATATTACGTTATCTATGTAGCTTTTCTACATATAAGAGCTACCAAATCTTATAAAACACACGACGCAATGTACTAAATATGACTATCATTTTGTTGTTATCTAAGTTAGCGAATAGGCCTGCTAGATAAGCATAAACTCAGTAAAAACAGACATTAATTGTACTATCCTCCTCGATATTTCCGACTCGATATGTCTGTTGTGTTCTAATAAATGAAACAATATTTGTCGAAATTCTGCTAACTAGCTAAAACTCACAAACAAATCTTCTACTAAGCTGCTGTATCTTATTTGTGAGCAATTACAATATATTATATGCCTTATCTGTCTGCTACATATTCAATCACAAATAGACCGTTAACATCAGTTCTTATTTATTTGTTATAACAATGTCAAAAATAATCAATAAAACCATAAATATTAAATCTAATATATAAAATTCTCTTATCGCGGTCTTTGTTACCAAACTCCTGCGAAACGGCTCAACAGATTTGTATAAAACTTTGTGTGCATATCAGGTAGGTCTGAGAATCGGCCAACATCTATTATTCAAACCCCTAAATGATAAGGGTGACCCACCCCTAAATATTTTTTAAATGTTTTTGACAATTTTTTTATTTTTATTTTATTATGATTATGCATTGAAAAATACATAAAACTTCAAATTTTCACCCTTCTACGATCAAACCCTGTTTTATAATCGCGATTTTTAATGTATATGGTAAAATAACGTTTGCCGGGTCAGCTAGTACACTACGAGTATATTATATATGAGACCCCGCACTGGCGTACAGATTTTGTTCGCGATTTGTGTACTACAGTGTGTGCATGTATGCATGTCTGTTCAAAATTTGCCAGCATGCACTGGAGCAACACGGCCGACTAACTTCTCCAAAACTCTTTCACAAATGAGACGATCAATTATAAGACCATTCGTCAATGTCATCCTATGTCACATAAGTAAACAATTCTTGCATATGTGTTTAGATAATGTTTGTATTTAGATAGGTTTCATCCCTGATGATAAAAGCTTGTTTGCTCATACACCAACTTGATAATGCAACTATCAGTGGGCATAATTAATGAAAGTAGCTATTAAATAAATTAACTTTGTATAGTAATAAAGATTATAGTTTAAACTGCAACAAATTGACAACACATAACAACAGTTATTATATTTTTATATTTATCATAAAAATGAGTCCACGTATTTGATTTTTTTTTTATATTTTCAGACCTTGCAATATAGTCAAGCTCCAATAAAAGCAACGAAAGGTAAAGTTGAAACCGACCTTGGTTTCGTTAGGCAACAACCGCCTGAAAATCTTACATGTCATTTTGGATTTGGTATTGATACTCTACGATCTTAATTAATTTTGATGATATACTCCAGTTTGATATATTTAACATTTGCTAATAAAATTCTGTTATAAATAATTATCTGAGTTTCTCATTTATTATTATCTTTATATATAAAAATTATGTGTCACATTGTTCGTCCGCGATGTACTAAACTACAGAACTGATTTCAATGAAATGTTTCGCAATGTGTGCAGTTTGGTCCAACTTGAGAGGTAGGATAGTTTTTATCCCGATAAAAGACCCTCAACTTTTTTATTGTGAATTTAATGATTTTTTTTTTGGGACACATGGTCGTCGGAAAGGGCAGAACAACTTCTGCCTGGTCAGCTAGTCTATACAAATAAATAAAATTGAAGTGTCTGTTTGTAATGTCAAAATTACAGTTTTTTACTAAATGCATATGAAAGTAAATACGATACCTATAACTAAAATACAATTTTTAAAATTTTTGTCTGTCTGTCTGTCTGTTTGTTCCGGGTAATCTCCGAAACGGCTGGACCGATTTTGACGGGACTTTCATTGGCAGATAGCTGATTTCATAAAGAGTAACTTAGGTTACTTTTATTTTAGAAAAAGAAACAGGGTTCCGCGCAAAAACATAAAAAGCCTAACACGCGAACGAAGTCGCGGGGAACAGCTAGTATTAAATATATATTTTACCCCTAAAAGCCAATGAAGTAAAGATTGAACTTTTATATTTTTTATTTGGCAAATAAATAACAATTTGGAAAAAAGGTTCGGCAAAGATAGAATTTGAGAAAATTTTTTGCTCTTTAATTTCCAAGCATTGGCAAATATGGATCACTGTTTATAACTTTAATTGCTAAGTAATACCTACATTCATTATAAGTAAGAGACTAGCCTAGGTTTAGCACAAGCAACTTACCTACCTCCAGGGCCCTCTACCAACCAATCAATCGTCAGAATTGTATCGCGTTTAATAAGTTCGTAAATCAAGGGTGTCTGTTACGAGTTACTTTAGCGTAGCGCTGGGAGGTAAACAACAATTTAATGTGCTTTTCGGGATAAAACACCGCTAACTTCCTGACTGCGAGCTACTACTGAGTATTCCTTGATAAAATAACCAAAGTGACAGAAAAAGCAAATCGGGCTTCTACCCGTCGTGGGATTCGAACCCGGGAACACAAGATCAACCGTCGCGCTATCGCCCACAAGACTAATTAGGGCTACGCAGTCACTCCGGACCGAGGCAGAAAGCTGGACCACAAATACACCCGGAACCAAATACAGTAGAACGCCGATTATCCGAACGCCGATTAACCGAATCGCCAATGATCCGAATCAGTCCTAAGCGTAATATAAAAAATTTAAACTAAGTACTGTAATTAAGTAATGTAATTTTTGTTTTGTTTTGTTGTACAAGTTGTAACAAATTGGAACTCGCTGGAGTCTAGATATATTTTTCAACTGTTATGGTGCGTCTCCACCAAAGTTTTGTTGTCAACACAACATTTGCCAACACGTTTTGCCAACAAATGTTTCTGTCAACAAGCGTCTCCACCGACGGACCAAATGTCGGCAACAAGCGTATTCCTTTGATGTTGCCGCCGAAAATCGAAACAAGTTTTGTTGGCAAATGTTGTGTTGACAACAAAACTTTGGTGGAGACGCGGCTTTATAGTTGAAAGCTAGAGGCAAGACACTACATGTTTTGCGTCTTCTAGTCCACTAGTGTCTAGTCTAGTCTAGTGCACTACTTACGTATTGTAGAACTGTGTTTGTTAAACGTAATAAAGTTTATTCTATGTGTGACAGTTTGTTTTTCTTTATTACATAGCAGTCTATGTCCGATTTATCCGAATTTTCGATTATCCGAATCGACCCCGGTCTCAATTAATTCGGATAATCGGCGTTCTACTGTAATCAGTAATCGCACTTACGACCAATGAGATAGAATTGGTTACAAATACTTCCGAGTAAGCCAAAAGTTGTCAGGAATGTTAATACTGTTTTGTAACATCCTTTCTATACACGCAGTCTAAAGTTTTAAAGAAAAAAACAGGCGATTTCGAAAGTTCCTAACTCCTCAGGTTAGTGTATCGATACGAGTGATACAACCTAATGCGGTTAAATTACTACTTTAATACTTTACTAGATTATCATCTACTCCTTTCTCTCCTTTCTATCACCCGTATAATTAGATGATAGCTACCCATACCCACCATGGGTAAGAACCCATTGCCGCTGGCGCTGCTGCTGTGTTCTGGTATTAGGGTATAGAGTTAATATAATTAAAACTGAGGCATTCCATCCATGGAGTCCATGAGTTTTAATAGCCGCTAATCATCAGGTGGGCTGTGAGTTCGTTCGTCATTTTAGTTTTGTGAAATAAATAAATACAGGAAATGAGGATATATTTACGCAGCGAAGTTATACCGTTTCTATTGACCCTTCAATCACCTACCCTATCTTGTAGTAATAATTGTTTCTCGCCTAATATTTTTATGCCATACATACATACTACAAAACAACCTTCGATACCGTATCACATTCATGTATCTGGAAAGCGCTAATAGAACAAGGGGTAGAGAAAGAGTATATACAGGTAATAATAAGTATTTATAATAACATCACGGGCAGAGTAAAATTGGAAAGAGTCGGCTCAAGCTTTCCCATTGAAAGAGGAGTGAGACAAGGAAACCCGACATCCCCGAAGCTGTTCATTGCCATTCTAGAGTCGATAATAAGAAAGCTGGATTGGAAAACTAGCGGCCTAAACATAGACGGAAAATACCTGAGCCACCTCCGATTTGCTGACGACTTGGTGTTTTTATCGGAATCAAGCTTGCGATTACAAGACATGATCCAATCACTTAATGTGGCTAGTAAGCAGGTAAGATTAGAGATGAACCTCGCAAAATCTATGGTAATGAGAAACAACATCGAAAAGACAATATCAGTCATTTTGCTTTTTTATTTTTATTTTTAATTATTATGCTTATGGCAAAATATATTTAAAAATCACAACCTCTCTATATTTGAAGACGATGTAATTACAAATAAAAAAGGGTCGCAAGTCTCGCTGAATACTGTCGATAATCACAAGATGTACACGGCATCGACATCGATGTGACCTCGACAAGGTGATTGTTGTATCGCAGTCAAACCGAACAGTCAAGAACCGGTCTAAAATACATAAAAGAAACATACTCTGCAAAACAATAAATAAGAGCCATGTATTACGTATTTTGTATTAAATACTGCTGGCGATAAAGATGGTACCTATGTAAATCGGTATGCTTTATGTCAGGTATCTAGGTGAATTTTTTTTCCAAACTCCAAATTGCGAAATGTTACTGTAAGAGTTATTTACGTGTTGTTATAAGAGCTTACTTCGTTTTCTCACACATCATCCTGGCTCATTCCAAGTGCGCTCGGTAGGTTTCAGGTTGGGATAGTCTAAGTGTACTCTCTGAATGTAAGTTATTTATGTAGAAAAAGTGAAAGAAATTTTAAAATAAGTCATTATTTAATTAAAATATTGGTAATTGTTATGGATGCACATTTGTTATTTTAAATCAAGGTTATTGATGCTTCTACTAAAATACTCTGGGAGCTGAATTGAAGAAATTTTTATAGGAGTATTTCACCGACTTTTGACGACGACCGAGACGAATATTTTCCTTTGAAATGCTCTGGCATGCAAATTCTGAATTATATTAATAGGATCTGGCAAAACGGTGGGTTACGGAAAGCTTTTAGTTGATGCTATAGTTTTAAAACAGTCAGTAATTTTACAAATATTAAGACACAATAATATGCAAGCCATACAAACACTTGTTCCGTGCGGCATTCGCCGCGGACACGCAGCGTCGTTTTATTGGAGAAGTAGTAACTAAATACTACTTCTTATTAATTTTCAAATGACAAGTCTCGTCAATTTTGGGTTATTTGATAGCGAGCCCTATCGCCATTTGAAAATTTTGACACATCTGCTGGAACATATATTGCCAGCATAGAATCACAAATCAATATAGTCAAATTATTATTTTGTCTCTACCTAGAGACTTTTACTACCTAACCTAGTCTCTCATACAAACCCATCTGAAATATGGCCCAGTCTATAATTTTATAACAATGGGACAATTTTTAAACGTTGACAGGTTTGACGGATATCTGCTTCTGCTAATTATACTTGGCCTAAAACGAGAGATCGTGTCATTTAAAACTGCACGCTTCTCCCTTGTATTTTAGCTAGATTTTATTAGCCGACCAGCATGAGGAAGCTCAAGGTCGCTCAGCGAGCTATGGAGAGGGCTATGCTCGGCATTTCTTTGCGTGATAGGAGAGGATATCCGCAGTAGAACCAGAGTAACCAGCATAGCCCAACGGATTAGAAAGCTAAAGTGGGAATGGACCGGCTATATAGCTCGAATAACCGAGAACCGATATGGACGAAAGGTTTTCGAGTGGCAGCTTCGTACCGGTAGGCGAAGCGTAGGGCGATTCCCCGTGGATGGATTGACGACCTGGTAAAGGATGCAGAAGGGGATGGATAAAGTTGTCTCAAGAATTTGCTTTGTAGCATTCCTTGGAGGAGGCCTATGTTCAGCTGTGGACTTGTGAATGGCTGTAATAAATAAAAATAATAATTATTATTGGCCGACGCCGAAAAAGAAGGGTAATTGTATTTAATGTGAGTTTATTTTCCGAAGTCATTGCGTTGTTCGTCAATCCTCTTTCAGCTCGGTCGTACCTTCCTTCAGAACTTTACCATAGAAAACTAGCGTAATGTCACCAAAAAATATAAAGATCTTACAATTATTTAGATTAAGATTGCATAATATATTAATCCGCCTGCCAACCGTGTACATATATTACAAAGGCCAATACTAAGAAACTTCTACTAAAGATTCCATTTATAACACCGATGATAGAAGAAGGCAAAGGACAATAGGTGGATAAGCATCCATATCCTCAATTAAATAAATGATATGATCAGAAGGAATCACAATCATAGCTGGGGGGGTCACGACCCGCATTCGTGTTAGTTCTCTGTGAATGGCTGAAGTGTCGCACGAGCGTTGGGCCAACCAGCTCGAATATCTACTATCATGCCTTGGTTACGCCGTTGGCATTGGAAATATTTGGAGATTTCCGTATTTGTGTTATAAAAATGGCGGAGGTATGTTATTCGCCTAAATAAATTATTCTTTTACTTAATTGTTATTTTTTACGTCATAAAATATATTAATGAATGTTTTTACTGGCAACGAAGCATTTAGCATTCTATCTTCGTCCTCAAGGTTGACGACGTATCTACATTTTGATTTATAATCAAGAAAGGATGTGAGTGTCTATGGGCTACAGCATACACTTACCATCAGGTGGGCTGTGTACTCGTTTGTCACCTTTTTTATAAAATATATATATATGTGTTACAAGCGTTTCGTTATTAAACGGAAACTTATTGAATATCCTCTGTGTCTGACTGCCGCCACTATTTCACGCAGATAATTGAAAGGCATAATTATAACAATAGCAGAGGTGAGGTTAAAAGTAAAAAAAAATTAACTTGAGAGGTTAGCTTTGAGGGAAATATGAAGTCAAAAAACATAATAACGCATACGTTATCGTGCAATATTATATATCATTTATCTTTTGTAATAAATGCGTATATTTGAAATTATGTATAAAAATAATATCTAAAGTAAAAATAGATCACAGCTGATCGACATAACAAAATAAAATTTATAAATTAATTACTTTGGTTAGTGTTATAGTACCTATCATATATAAATGATACTCATTTTTCATAGAATATGTGTAACAAACTAGCACACAGTCCACCTGATAGGAAGTGGATGCTGTCGCCCATAGACAAATATCATAAGAAAACTTAATGTCCTAAATATTATAATAGCACTTAACAAGTCCACTGCTGAATTTAGACCTTCTGCAAGGAATTACACAAAATACGATCCTGAGTAATCAGCATCCATTGACTTCCTGCATGTCTTACCAGGTCGTCGCTTCATCTAGTGAGAGGCCACCCTTCACTGCTCTTACTGGTACGAGGCTGCCACCTCTTTTTCTCATTAATTACCACTTCCATAGCTCGTTGCGCGACCTGGAGCTTCCCCATACAGTCAGCGGTGGAGAACTCGTCTTAGATCCATATATCATCACTAACAAAATGCACTGATTGTACACTATGTCGTAATCTCCTGAGCTCTACCCAGCCGAATTGGATCCGTCGATTGATCTCATGGTCGAAGTTGGACTTACCTCTCGGTCAAATTGTCCTAGGTGAACTACTGCGTGGGAGACGATTCGTAATGACTTTCGAAAGGAACACAAAGACGCGGCTCAAAAGGGATATTGATTGTTCTGAAGAATTGAAATAGAACATATCATCTTTCTTGAAAAAGAAGATACGTAGCGCAGGGACTCAAAATGAGTCTAGGCATCCGGTAGTAAAAGACGTCACATAAGGAAACAATGTTATACAACTAACAAAGAGGTTTTTTGAGATTATACGCGGTACAGCCATGCTGCAGCTATATTAGTAGTATAGTTGCAGCACGAATGGGTCGGTTCGACCGGGGAAGGACCACGCTCTCACAGAATACCAGCGTAAAATAGCAGCTTAACGCTGCTGTGTTTCATATGGTGAGTGTAGAGAACCAGAGACCCTTTTTACTGGAAATAAGGCATTCCATCTTAGTCCTCACGGGTAACAACGCATCTACATTTTGATTTGTAATCGAGGATAGATGTAGATGTATATGGGCCACAGCACCCACTTACCATCAGGTGGACGTGTGCTCGTTTGTCAACCTTATCCCATAAAAACAAAAGATTGTACAATTTTCAAAAATCAGTCTTTAAAGTAACTTTTTATTAAATTTCGACTGAAGATTTAATGAATATCTAGCCTAAACTGTGTAGTGACCATGTAAGACTATTCACTACCCCATATCGACTCGTGAAACTGAAACAGGAGATAAGCAGCAGCCTGTCCATGATAACAAAATAATAAAAAACTGTGGTTGCCAACCGGCCTACCAAGCGTTTCAACTATGGCGTAATCCCACCTAAAAGGCGATTCTATGAGCGATGCCTATGTATAGCATAGGACATCTATAGGCTGTAATGAAAGTTTTTTTTTTATAGAATAATGATGACAAACGAGCACACAATCCACCTGTAAATGTATGGTGTGGCCATAATAGATGTTTATGGTTCGATTGAGTTTATACGTCGCTCAAGTTGAATTTATTATAAATTGAAGGAAGTTTATTACAATGGTGATAGGTAATAATTTTTTACTGCTTTTACTTACTATACTTTATAATTTTTAAATATGCAAAAGAGAAATTAAAGTTGGTTTTAAAAGTAACAAAGAACTCAAATTACAGGTGCATTTCTCATACCATACTTTTTAACGTTATTTGTATGCGGTATCCCACTCGTATACTTGGAGACTACATTGGGACAATTTTCAAGCGCAGGATGTATTTCTGTCTTCAATATCAATCCTCTGTTCAAAGGTACGAAATTAATATGTGCATAATGGTTGTTCCAATTTTAAAAATATATAAAAAGAAAGAAATTTTAATATAATGCTTTGACATTGGTCCACAGGAGCTGGCTATGCCGTTGTCGTCTTAAATATAATTGCAGTGACATACTTTTCTGCTATTATGTCTTATCCGTTACTTTACATATACCATTCGTTTAGTTCGCCGTTGCCTTGGCAAAGTTGCGGTAATTCATGGAATACTGAAAGATGTACTGAGGTACCTCACAATCCTATTTTTAATACAGTTACTATTTGGATTGATATCTATTTGATATTGGATAATATAACATATTATTATTTCAGATAACTGGAAATTCTACGTTTATAGCATCAACGGGATCGCTTACGACACCTGAAGACGAATTCTTCCAGTAAGATGACATAATAAGTTGACAAAAGACTTAGTATTATGTAATAAGCCAGCAACACGAATTCGATAGGCTATCCAATTTAATAAAATTGCTGATTTTAATTAAATTACCAAATCTTTGGCCTTAGAGTGGCTTATTCCTTGTAATCATTTTTCGTGGTAGAGCCAAGCTGCAGCTATATTACTAGTATAGTTGTAGCACGAATGGGTCGGCTCGACCGAGTAAGGACCACGCTCTCACAGAATACCAGCGTAAAATAGCAGCTTAACGCTGCTGTGTTTCATATGGTGAGTGTAGAGAACCAGAGACCCTTTTTACTGGAAATAAGGCATTTCATCTTAGTCCTCACGGGTAACAACGCATCTGTATTTTGATTCGTCATCGAGGATATATGTAGATGACTATGGGCCACAGCAACCACTAACCATCAAGTTGACTGTGAGCTCGTTTATCACCCTTATCCTATAAACATACAACCATGAACAGAGATATGAGACGAAAGAAATTAAATTTTACTTATGTTACACCTTTGTCATATTATATGTTATTGATGTAATACGTTGTTTTAGTGTACGTCTACTACAAATGTCACCAAGTATTTATGAGATTGGAGGTATCGTGTGGCCTGTATTCTTTTGCAACTTTATATGTTGGATCCTCGTTTACCTCTGCATATGCAATGGTGTCAAGAGCGTCGGTAAGGTGAGATTGGAAACGCCGCTCTAAAATGACGTTCTTTGGCAAGTTGCCGTTAACGGTCACACCGTTTTTCTCGAGACAATTTAAAAATAGAATTTCTATTTTTCAGATTGTTTACTTTACAGTTTTGTTCCCGTATGTGGTGCTCTTCGCTTTATTTATACGCGGCGTGACATTACCTGGGGCTGCACAAGGCATTCTGTATTTTATATTACCAGATTGGAGCCAACTTAAGAATCCAAAGGTTTTCAAACCGACTCAATCAGTATTTTCTTTTCTGAAAAAGCATGTCTTTTACACTAATAAAAATTATTTTAGGTATGGGCAGATGCTGCAACCCAATTATTTTACTCGCTTGGTCCAGGATGGGGAGGTTTAATTAGCATGGCCAGTTTTAATAAATTCCACTACAATAATTTAAGGTTCGCTTTAATTTTTTACTTTATAATTAGAAGGTACATAAAATAACATAGGAAACATTTTATTACGTCAATGTATGTAACGAATAAGATATTAATATTTCAAGTAGTCATTGCTGATGTAGGTAATAATAATAAATGTAATACAAATGAACAATAAGTTTATATTTAGCATTTTCGTAGTTATTGTAATGAACGACCTGTAAACCTTGACGCCTATTTATCATATTGCACAAATAATGTAAGTCGTGTTATTAATTCAACATTTATTTTTAGGTCATCAGTAATAATACCAATAGTGAACAGTGGTACGAGCGTATGGGCTGGGTTCGTCGTTTTTTCGGTGTTGGGCTTTGCGGCGGAACGTGCCGGTGTGCCAGTGGGTCAGGTTGCCACTGCCGGACCGGGGCTAGCCTTCATCACATATCCAGCAGTTGTTACTTTAATGCCTGCGCCAAACTTCTGGGCTATAACCTTCTTTGTCATGCTCTTTTTTCTTGGCATCGACACAATGGTTAGTTCTTATTTAATATTATTTTTCAAGTGCAATTGTATTCATGCACAATATTTATGTAACTATAGTTGTTGGTGCGTCATTTAGTGATCGTGTCACTAAGAGTTGACCTATTGAAGTCATATTTACTCAGTATATTTGATTTGTCGAGACGATGGTTCATAGCTATGCCAAGATCCGATCGATGGCGCTATAGTCGAAAAAAAAACAAAACCCTCGAAAAAGCCGTTGGTCCTGATTTCTCTCTGATCGGTTTGTCGTCTCATTGGACTATGAAACTGAGAATCCTGTCGAGCGCAGATGACTAGCCTCCGTTAAGAACCACCGTGACCGAAATTCGGACTGGAGGACATCATAATTAATACGTATATGTTGGCTTGAGCTAAAAATAAGAATCGCTATCTGGGCCCAATAGGCGGCGCTTTGATCGAGTTACTAATAAGTTTTATATTTACACTGTAAACAATCCGGAGTGAATTCGGAGTGTAACTCATCACGCCACCTGCTGAAAGAATCGAACAACTTCAGCCGGGCCAGCTAAGATTCATATAAACTATAACTATATTTTAACAATATGTAGCTTCGTCTGTAAACTATTACAAAGACTGTTTAAACTGATTTATCTGCTTCGCCAATTATTTTTTCATTGCAGTTTGTTACCATAGAAGCCGTAATTGCAGGATTACTAGATGAGTTCCCGAAATTGCGCCCACGCAGGAAAATATTAACGCTTTTGACTTGTTTAGTACTCTGCTGTATCTCAATCATCTGTAACACGAAGGTCGGTATCTTCTATATGATAAGATATTATGAATTCGATGCAACTAACTACAATGTAACTTACAATAGTGTGCGTATGTACTGTTAATTAAAAAAGAAAATAAAGCAAAATTTGAAAACAATAACATACTGTTCCTAATGTATTTGTATTTTAATATATAATAAGGTTTGTACCTATGAAATTGCCATTTTCTGTTACTAGCTAGTTTAAAATACGATAGTTTTTTATTATTTACTCTTTAATGTACAACAAATACGGTATGGAAATAGAAGTATGTACAAAATCAAATCTAAGTACAACAGGTAGTCTAACCACTCTAAAAGTAATTTCTTCCAGACAATCTTTGCGTATTTAAATGCAAATTAAATTTTAATAATTTATTTAAACGTACAATGCATCGAAAATAAACTCTCTGTGCGTTTAATTAATTTAACGCTACAAACGAGTTATGTGCACGACTACAGACTAAAGACAAACGACAATGATGAAAAGCTATAGTGAAAACAATTTTATCTCAAACCACGACAGCGTTCCACATGAATTAAACAAAGAATTATCAGTAATTCAAGCTTCGACGAGACTTTTGTGATTTTCTATCAGTAAGGCAAGTTGCCTTTAGTACACCGGTACACATATGAGAGACATACAGTGTCACAAGTGAATTAAATTGTTACTTATGATGAAGAGTGAATGCTGTATGGAATCGGAGACCTTCGTTAATGGTTTGACCCAAGTGAGACAGACATACCGTGTTCTGTCTGTAAATGTATAGTGAACCAACATCTTCACCATCATGTGATCTGGCTCTGTATTTAATTACTGTAGCACCAAAATTGCAAATGATGATAAGCAAGCACTTTATAAAACAAACACGATTTGTTCAAGTCCGCTTCTTCTCCATGCATCCATACATCTCAAAAATAGGAAATTTAACTGTTAATGTAAACTCTCGTTTACCCTAATCGCTGGAACTTCCTCTCACTGATTTGCATTTTCTTTGGATATTTAATAACTTGTTAGAGGTGAAAATTTAAACTCCAATTATACGGTGAAAACATAAAAAAAAAAACATAAACACTCTCTACTACACTACGTCTCTGCCTACACCCAGAGGGGTAGGCAGAGACTACGGACTTCCATTTGGCGCGATCCTGACACACCTCTCTCGCCTCTTTTACATCCATATATCTACGCATACACGCTCGTCGGTTAAGGGTACTCCTAATCTGGCCCATTTTTAATGTATCGCCGATTTGGTCGATAAACCTTCGTCTAGGGCGTCCCTTCCCGACCCTGCCGTTCACTTGAAAACACCTTTCAGTATTTCATTTATTCTCATCCACAGGCTTTTCCTAGCAAAAGCATCAATGACCTTCCATTAGTATGGCAAAAGTACATTGAAAATAACGAGCTATAAAATATATAATTTTCATAAAAAATTGCTTAAAATTTTCTGTATAAAAACACAAAGTCATAGCTAAGGACCTAAGAGTATACGTTAAAAAATTATTATGTTAAAACAAATTTGCATGAGTACACATTACGTTTATTACGAAGATTATGTTTTTACTATTTTTAAACTTTATTCGTCAAGGCTGGATTTCATATCATCGGATTGCTGGATTCTCACGTGGCGATCGCTTGTGTGCCAGTGGTTTGTGCTATGGAACTCATTGCCGCTGTGTACACATACGGCCAAGATAAACTAAGTATAGACGTACTTTTCATGACCGGACGACCACTAAGATGTTTTTGGCTGATTTTATGGAGATATATTCTTCCGGTGGTACTACTGGTGAGATCATTTGTATTATACAAAAGATATAAATTACCAAAATCGAATTCAAATCTACTAGAAAAACTACATTTGCAAGTGCTTTATATAATGATGGCATAATTTTTATGTCGAATAATACATTGCGTTTAGTGCATATTATTCGAAGTAATTCTCAAAATTATATTAAATGAAACAGATACAGGAGTACAATTCCTCTTATTGTAGTTTTTAATGCTTATTATCTTTAGTGTAATATTAAATGCTTATAATTATTGTTTTAGGTGATTACCATCTATTCATTGCGGGGGGCCTCCGGTCTGGCGGGCTGGTGCGTTGCGCTTGCATCCGTCATATGCATTCCAATCCACGCACTCAGAACTATTTACATGTCCAGAGGACCTATTTTCGATGTAATCATAAAAACATATGTTAATATTGAACTCTTTTTGTCTTCTTGTTCAGTCGTTTTTCCTTAATTTATATATTTTCCTTTCTCACAGTGAACTATAAAATACTGACAAAATTTAACGAAATAATGTAACACTTATTATTAACTAGCGACCGGCGCCAGCTTCTCCTGGGTAGAATCTATTAATGCGGCGTAATTGAGATTTAAGAGATCGGAGCGTGAGATCTCCCTCTTTCCATTCCAACCAGTATCGGCAGAATTAGATGTCGGCACGGCATTGCTTTTAAAGTAGATGTAACCTTCTTGGTAAATTAACTTTCGAATACTATCGGAAGCTAGTAATTACACTATGTCTTGTTATAGTGCTGCAAGTATTAATTGCTTAAGTGATAGAGCCATTCTGCAGCTGTGTTTTGGTTGAATGGATCGACTCGACCGGGAAGGACCATGCTCACTCTCATAGAATAACAACAAAATTTCATATACCAACAATTAGATAAAATAACCTCCCACCTAAAAATATATGTCTTTTCAATATTTTAATGTACAAATTTTCTAATCTATATTATTTTATTGTAGAGAATACGAGAAAACTGTCGGCCTAATTCAAATTGGGGTCCATCAGAAACTGATATCCGGCTGCGATGGAATTCTTTTCGCGACAAGAAAAGGCACTCCGTACCTCTAGCTATCATGAATAATGAAGCTTACAACTTATAATATATAACTGATTATAAATATTTTTATAATAACAAATTGGTGTTTAATATCCTAAATCTCCTAATCTTGACTGTTGAAAATATGACTCACATTTAAAGTTACATTATTACGAAGGTAGGTAGAACCGGCATGGGTTTACCTTCTCTTTTTTTTTTAAACGTAACGTCGTATATGTACTAATGAAATCTCAAAATTGACACGAATATAACACTTGGAATAGTTTTGTAATTGGTCTCCCTGAAAAAGGGCTTCATGACCCTTTTTAAATTTTACGTCAGACACAAGAAAATCTGGGTCTTCACATTTATTAATTTTTAGTAGAGCTACGCTGCAGTAAATAATGGCTGCAACACGAATGGATGAGCTCGAACGAAGAAGGACAACGCTCGCATAGAATATCACCGTGAAGTAGCGGCAAAATGCTGCTGTGTTTCCCAGAGACTCTTTGCTGGTAACGGTACATTCCATCTTAATTCTCAGGAGCGACTGCATTTTGATTGTTAATGGAAAGTGTCCTTGGGCACAGCATTCACTTAACATCACTGTATTAGGTGCTCGTTTATCACCTTTACTCCTGTATAAAAAAACAAATATTTTATCAGCCCGTCAGGTTTTATCGGATGGATTGCCATCGCCGCACGGCCTACAAAATCCTGTCGGACCTCACTCATGTATGAGCTTATATAGCGTTGTTCATAGTCTGACATCTATTTTTCATCTACAGCTTCTATATTATAATTGCAGTGAATTTGAGTTTGTTTTTCGGTTATTAATGTTTTAAAAATTTCAAAGCAAATCTTTTCGTTCGGATTAAATGTGCCCAAAAATTTTTTTTTTATGAAGTTGCTAGAAAGATTGAAAATAGCTTCAGCTACAATCGGATCGGTAATTCGACTAGTTCTAGATTAGTCATCCAGTAGCCCTGTCCTACTGGATAAGACGAATAAAGTTAATTCGAAATCCAAGCATATACAAGTGCAAAGATTTCTCCTCAAATCTTGTAAGCTAGTTCTGCATAGGTCATACTATAAATTAAAATATAAAAGCTAAAGGTAACCCAGACTAACTATGACATCAGGACTTTAAGCAACTAAATTTCTATAGTAAAATTGAAGAAAATATTCCACCCTGAGTTTGGGAAAATAGGGGCAAATTTTTAATGTAACTATTACATTGACGTTCTAGTAGTTACCTTGAGTTTGTGATATACTTTAGTCCACACTAAAGGTACGGTACGGTTTCTTTACTCATGAGCTAAAGGGTCAAGAATTAAACTTTTACCATAACATAACATAAACACTCACACCTGTCACCCAGGGGGGTAGGCAGAGACTATGGACTTCCATTTGGCACGATCCTGACAAACCTCTCTCACTTCCTCCACATCCATATACCTACGCACACACGCTTGTCGGTTAAAGGTACTCTTCATTTTCAATATATCGCCAATTCAATCGATAAACTTTTAATAAAGAGTAAAAGGTGACTTCAAAGAACTGAAAAGAATAATTTAATTTTCATATTTCAGCTTCTGAATTCGGTGCTTTCATTTTTCTATACAGTATGTCTTAGCTTCGACTTCTCAAACTGTTATGTGGGAATTTTTATTTTTATTTTGTAGTCAGCTTTTACTTTTAGCTTCGGTCAGTCAGGAGTACGAATTGCGAGGTTAGTCCATTTTAAATTCAAATTATTTAAAACTATAATTTGTCGGGAGTATTGTTTACGAGTTGATAATGATATGAAGTTATAAAAAGTACTGGCAGCTTTGTACTTTTCAATTGTAATTAAAAAAAGACGTCAATGTAACGAGATTTTGGCTGTCGTTAAATTTGACAGTCAGTCTGTCACTTGTTAAGCTTCAAAATCTTTCCCATGTAACTATTTTCCAGTTATCAAAATTCTTGTTATGATTTAACATTTTAGAGTAAATAATCAAAATTTAAAGTAACATTAAACAAAATGGTAACAATGGATCATCAAGACGAGAAAGACAAAAGAGTAAAAATTCAGGTAATGTTGTTACTTACCTACTAAAAATAGGTTATTGCATATTATTTTCTTTAAAATAATGTTTAAAATTCGGTCATTCTGTGCAATCTATAGTACATATATAGCTAAATTATACCTGGATTATGTTTACAAGTTGCGCTAATGAGTGTGAGCAAAGATCTAAAGTCTGTTTCTAGGGCATGCGGAAAAACGGGCAGTGACCTTTAACGCCGTCCACAGGAGTAACCAACCTTTTTTGGTTTGGTTCTATAAAATTCATGGACTATCAATCGTATCAGTGCCAGAAAAATAAAAAAATATATAAGTAACATTTTTATTTACTATAATTATGTTAGTACATATAAATGATGTTATGATTAGTCTCAAGATCTTAATAATTTAAAAAGAAGTAAGAAAACGTGTTTAACGCATTCCTTAGAGTAATTAAAATTTAATTCAATTCAATCTTTTATTTCACTGTCGTATTGTGATGACGAACACGCAGAGGACCCCGTTACATTAATCATTAAACAATTGACATATATCAACAACGTAATCCTGGCCATAACTTAAAACAATAACAAATAAACGAAATCAAAACTATCGTTTGTATAACAACCACATTCCAGAGCAGCATGAGCCATGTTTTGTCCCTACTTAAGTTGTCTCTCCGCGCGACATGCCTAAATCGGTTTGTTATCTCTGAAGCACCGCGTCGCCCACCGCACCCGGGACCAATAAAAGCGTTGCTAAGCGTTAGCGATGAAGAAATGTACGGAAAGCGACAGGCATCGTTTTCATAATACGATTTATCGTTGAGCGTTTTTCTGCCTGCCCTAGAAACAGGCTATAAAAGTAACTGTATGTCCAGGCTAATCTTCGGAAATTCTAAACTGATTGTAATGAAACGTCACAAACCAATACCATAAGCGATCTGGGCTATATTTTATAACGAAATATTGATAAAATGTAAATAACGGCACATTAACAGATCTTACCCAGGCGAAGCCGGGGTGGATCGATAGCCAATACTTGAAACAATTTTCAATGTTTTTTTAATTTTTCGGTTTCTGTTTTGAAATCTAGTATTTATAATTAGAAATATTACATTTCATTCGTAAATACAGTTTTATTTTAGAAAGAAAGAGATATTTAGTTACAACTTTTATTTACAATTATACCTAACCACGAAAATATTCAGATTTCTTTTTATACGATAGGGTAACAAACGATAACTCATTTCACCTGATGATAAGTGGTTGTTGTGACCCATAGACATCAACATCTATCCTCAATAAAGAATCAAAATGCAGATGCATTGTTACCCGTGAGGACTAAGATAGAATACCTCTTTTCTAGTAAAAAAGGTATCCGGTTCTCTACACTCACCATACGAAACACAGCAGTGTTAAGCTGCTATTTTACGCTGGTATTCTGTGAGAGCGTGGTCCTTCCCCGGTCGAGCAAACCCATTCGTATTACAACTACTAGATTATTTATTTTCTTCATAATTTTCACAGAAGTTTAGGAAAATCTTATACATACATACTTGTAGTTATATCGTCTTACAATATACAGAGTCATTTTTGTTGGTATGGGTACAGTATCGTTGACTGTTTTACCTCCTTAAATATTGTAAAGGATTAAATCGACATCCTGTATATTTTTTATCGATAATCCCAATCGATAAACGTCGTCAATCACTAACATTAAAATTGGTAACTAAATAGTGACGTTTACTGGATAATAGAGGGCGCTTATTACAATAAAAATAAAAGTTCTAGAAAAATCTACTATCTATACATATAATAAAACTGTAAATAGCAGATGTCTGTACATTTTATATTTTTGTAATAAAAGTGATTGAGGGGTACTAAAAATAAGTAATTAAATACATTTCTACCATTTTTAGAATTTTCTGTCTGTCTGTCTGTCTGTCTGTCTGTCTGTTTGTTTGTTAACGTATCACGTTTAAAGTACTAATTTATATCATAAGAATTGTTAAGGAAATTATAAAGTGTATCTTCGGGTTACATTTAGTCTTTATTTCATTAAAATCGGTTCATTCCATCAAAAGTTATGATAAATATTCTGAAGTATGGGTAGGGAATTTGCTCAACGGTGGCTTTGTTTCGAGTCATCAAGTTGATGTTAGCAGCGCCATCTCTCTTCAATTAATTAAATATATACATATAATAAAAATGATGATAACATGTTGTGTCTCTTTCTGTACATTGTATATTTATTTTGGTGACTAAAATCATTATGGGGAACTAAAAATAATTAAATAAGTACATTTTTATAATTTTTAGAATTGCCTGTCTGTCTGTTTGTCTGTTTTTATATGAATGCATCACGTCTAAAGTAAACATCTTTTTTTTTCAAAGAAATCGTTAAGAAAATCATAAAGCGTATCTTCAAGTTACATTTAATCTTTGTTTTATTAAAATTGGTTAATTCTATCGAAAGTAATGATTATTATTTTAAAATGTAGGTTCGAATTTGTTCAATGGCGCCATAAAAATCACAAAAATAGTAATAAAAAGATTTGTGTGTAAAAAAAACGTTCCATAATAATTAATATATTTATACTTAAAACATAAAAAGAGATTTAAAAAAGGATGTTTTCTCACACAAAGGACGTAATAGATGGAGTTATACAAATTACAAACTTTTCTGATTTGCTGTGTTGTGAATGAATGAATCGTATTGAGACTTACTGAAGAAATTAGTATCTATCGAAGCCATACAACGGAACCCGAACAAAAATAACAAAATTGCAACGAAATGTCGTGATATTGTATTTATAATATACGCAAAATCAGTACTGCCATTTTAGCGCTTTGGGAACTAGATTTAGCGCTTTTTTGGAATGTATAGCGCGCATTTCGAAATTTTAGCACCTAGCACTTAATCCAGCGCTTTTTGGTGTATTTAGCACAAATTTCAAAATTGTAGCGACTAGCGGGTTATTAACTCTTTTATAGCAGCACTGTTAGTCCACATTACCGATAATAATAATAATGACCTTTATTTTTTCCCACAAATAGTACATTGCAGTTTATCTTTTTCAAACATATTTTTTCCACAAAACAAAGAGCATGGGAGACGAGTCCAAACTAGGATACCCTGTGCTATGGATCTCCCGGCTTCCCCTTTAGGATGATCAACTACATTTTTTTTATCGACGACTATAAGCGGGGAAATCCCCTTCATTAAAGTTTTCGTTCATGGTTTTGGCAACGCATTTATTTTGCTTTATTCAGTTTTAGTCAGTTGTTTAGAGCACAGCTAAGTTAAAAGTTACTTAGAGTAGTACTAACTACTGTTGACAGCAATTGCCATAATTATAAGTCGATGTCCTGCGAAGTATTGATACATCAAAAAATATTGCCAGAAAAAAACTTAATGTTGTTTTCTTTATTTTGATTATATTTTCTTGAATTATAAATTATAATAAAAAACACAAACTTTGTTTGTAGTTAATTTAGCGCAAAATCTAGGGCTTTTTAAAGCGCTGTTTTCATGAAATCTAGCGCTTTTTGTGTTGTCCTAGCGCTGAATGAGTTTTTTTGATCTGGCAGCACTGCCAAAAAACCCTCTATTAAGAAGTAACTTTCCCTTCAGTTTTAAGCGTGTTCAGTTCCCAGTTACAGTCAGCGTGTGTTTTGCGATGACCGTAAATAAAGTGCAAGTTCAAAATTTACGCGTTGTAAGAGTGGACCTCAGTACTGACTGTTTTGCACATGGCCAACTCTATGTTGCTTTTTCCCGCGTTAGTAGCCCCCGTAACCTTTTTGTGTACACCCCGGCTAAGCCTACTTCTAACGTCGTTTACACAGAAGCTCTATCATAAACTACTTAGAACTTTGATGATAATAATTTATTTGTTACCACTTATTGATACAGTAATGATATAAATCGTTTAATATTCTCTTACCTAAACGACAAATTCTTTATGTAAAATCTATATACGCGAGCTACGCCGCGGGCACAGCTAGTAAATAATAAAATTTAAAGATTATTCGGTAAATGTATGTTATATTTACGATAGTAAACCGAAATCGCATTCATTTTTTGCTCCATATCGTGACCTTACATTATTTTAATGCACAACCGGGCATATTTTCTTTAAAAATATTTTTTAAATATATGAAACGGATGCGTATTGACTTTTTGACGATGTCACTAAGACTAAATGACAAAAATCGGAGATATATCCTATAGGACAAAAGTTAAAGACGACAATTTTGCTACTGATGTCCGGTCTATTACTACTACTACTTAAATGTCTTTAGTCCCAACACTTTAGCACTGAATTACCTCTGTTAGTGGGACAAAACAAGCCTCTTTATCTGGGATTATTTCTTTCGATTTTATCGTTATAATTACCTCTATAATTGAGACAGCGAGTATATTTTACCTCTTTTACTGAGACACTATTTTGTGTACCGTTATGTTTACTAATTCTTATTCTACCCGTACCGTACGGAGATGGGCAGCAGCATCTTCCTGATAATAGCCAAAATTACAATAAAAAAACTGCGGTTGCCAACCCGCTCGCCAAGCGTGGCAACTATGGCAAATACCCCTCTATGAATGTAACAAAGAGACGGCCCCCAGTCCCCGGCGGCCCCGCTATTCCTGGCTACGGTGGCGACCATGGTAACGGCGGGGCAGGGGGTGCTAAGAATCTCCGGTGGAGGTTCGGTTGCCACCTTAGACGACTCGACCTGGCAACGTACAACGCACGCACCCTGAGGACTGACGAGAAGATCGTGGAGCTGGAAGAAGAGATAGACAAGTTGCGCTGGCATATTATAGGATTATCCGAAGTCCGAAGAGAGGGGGAGGACACGGTAATCCTCGAATCCGGCAACTTGCTCTATCACCGGGAGGGCGACCATCTGTCCCAAGGAGGTGTCGGATTTATCGTCCACAAGTCTCTCGTTAACAACGTTGTAAAGATCGGGAGTGTGTCGACGAGGGTTGCGTACCTTATACTCAGAATCACCAAACGG